AGAGGGCAGTTTACTACGTGAGTAAAACCCTAGCAGATGTAGAGACCAGGTATCTACCTTTGGAAAAGCTAACACTAGCTTTGGTAATGACCTCCAAGAAGCTGAATCATTACTTTCAAGCCCACAAGATTGTGGTGCTAACTGAGCATCCTCTGAAGTCCCTGTTGCATCAAGGAGATCTGACAGGCAGGATAGCCAGATGGGCAGTGGTGTTAGGCAAATATGACCTGGAACTCAGACCCAGAACAGCAATCAAATGCCAAGTTTTGGCCGATTTTGTGGCCGAGTTCACATCAGGCTCTGTTGAGCCGAGGTACACAATGTCTAGGTGAACAAAGAGAAACCCAGCTGGGGACAACAGAACAAAGGAAAGAAGAGAAACTCAGGCCCTGCAGTATTTAAGTTGGCTACCCCTTCCGCCTGTTCGTTGATGGAAGTTCAAACCGGCAAAGAACGGGGGTAGGAGTAGTGCTAGTATTGACGGACGGACAGATGCTTGAACAATCCATTCATTTGGGGTTTAAGACCTCAAACAATGAAGCAGAGTATGAAGCAGAGTATGAAGCTCTGATCGCAGGGTTGAAATTGGCAGCATCGATGGAAGCTGGCGAGGTAATGGTCTTTTGTGACTCCCAACTTATCGTCAGCCAGGTAACAGGCGAATATGCAGCTCGAGATGAAATGATGGCGGCCTATGTAAAAGAAGTGGGCAGACTGATGGCATTGTTCCAAAATTGACGACTATAGCAAGTCGGCCGAAATGACGACAACCATGTTGATGCCTTGGCCAACCTGGCTAGTGCAATGAAACCAGGAGAGGCGAAGACAATAATAGTTGACTGCTTGTCAGGTCCAAATGTAGAATCACTGAACACAGAGTATGAAGCAATGTGTGTGGAGATAGGACCGAGCTAGACGGATGCAATAATAGTATTCCTTAAAGAGGGAAAATTGTCAGATGATCATAAAGAAGCACACAAGATCAGACTGAATGAAGTCAGCAAGATTCAGTCTGACAGCAGAAGGGCATCTCTACAGAAGATCTTTTACTAAACCCCTTTTGAGGTGTGTGCATCCTTCACAAGTTGAAGACTTCTCGTATGAGATACATGAAGGAGTATGTGGAAGCCACACAGGGGGCATGTCACTTGCTCATAAGGCTATTAGTCAGGGATACTGGTGGCCCTATATGCAGAAAGATGCTGAGACTTATGTCCGAAAGTGTGAGAAATGTCAGAGGTTTGCACTTTTGATACACCAACTAGCAGTAGATTTAAACCTAGTATCCAGCCCTTGGCCATTTGCCCAATGGGGCATGGATCTTGTTAGACAGCTGCCTTAGGCAACTGGACAAAGGAAGTTCCTGCTAGTGGCAACAGACTACTTTGCCAAGTGGGTTGAAGCTGAACCCCTCGCAAAGATTCGGGACATTGATGTAAAAAACTTCATATGGAAGAACATCATCACCAGGTTTGGGATCCCAAGGGCAATAATAGCAAATAATGGTACGCAGTTTGATAGTAAACTAATCAAGAGCTTCTGTGCAAAGTATAAGATCAAGAATTACTATTCCACTCCAAGTTTCCCTCAAAGCAATGGACCAGCAGAAGCATCCAACAAAGTTATCTTGGATGGGATTAAGAAGAGGCTGGAAGCAGCAAAGGGAAAGTGGGTGAATGAATTGCCCAATGTACTCTGGGCATATTGAACTACGCCGAGAAGATCAACTGGGGAGTCCCCATTCGCCATGGCTTATGGCACAGAAGCAGTTATCCCACTAGAGGTCGGTATCGTAGGGATCAAAACCCAGGGAGTAGACAATGGGACTAACGATGCATTTTTAGCCCGAGATCTGGACTTGTTGGAAGAAAGACGGGAGAAAGAAGCAATTCAGCTAGAGGCATACCAGCAGCAGCTTGCCAAGGCTTACAACAAAAAAGTCAACCCACGAGAGTTTCAAGTTGGGGACCTCGTCCTGAGAAAGGTCGTCGGCAACATGAAGGATCCCAGAGAGGGCAAGCTTGGCCCAAACTGGAAGAGACCTTATAGAATCATCTCAGTCCTGGGCAATGGGGCATATCGGCTTGAAGATAGTGAAGACAAAGAATTGCCAAGACCTTGGAATACTTGCAACCTGAAGTTCTCCTATCATTGAGATTTCATTTTGTTTCTTTCTTTATAATCTTTTGTTATCAGCCGAAGTAATTAATAAAATTTAGCTCGATTCTTGATTTCAAACTTGTGTAAAACGATTGACCAGTCACTTGGCGATGTTTTTGATTGAAACATGACGAATAACTTAGACTTATTATATGGTAGAGTTGAATTATACTTGCATATAATAGAGTTGAACTAAGTTGGCGATGTTTCTGATTAAAACATGGCGAATAACTTAGACTTATTATATGGCAGAGTTGAATTATACTTGCATATGATTGAGTTGAACTAAGTTGGCAATGTTTCTGATTGAAACATGACGAATAACTTAGACTTGTTATATAGCAGAGTTGAATTATACTTGCATATAATAGAGTTGAACTAAGTTGAATTAACCTAGATTTGCTGTGTCGACAAAATGAAAACTTTGAATGACACTAAATACATATCAGTTAGATTAATAGAGACCGAGGTTGATAACCTCGGCTAGTCTCTGCTTGAATCTGATCTCGGCGACAAGATCATAGGTACATACTTAATGTGAACATAAGTGAAACTTAAGTTCACATTAGGAGGCAGAGAGTTGAAGAATAATGCTTGGAAGTTGGAATTTACAAGTTAAAGTTGGTTTAACACTTGTTGAAATTTTAAGAAAAATTTACAAGTTGAAGTTAAGCCGAGGTCATGTCGAAAAAAAAAATTAGTTTAACATTTGTTGAAATTTTAAGAAAAATTTACAAGTTGAAGTTAAGCCGAGGTCATGTTGAAAGAAAATTGGTTTAACACTTGTTGAAATTTTAAAAACAATTTACAAGTTGAAGTTAAGCCAATGTTATGTTGAAAGAAGTATCTATGTACTTGCCATGTTGCCAAGACTTGGAGAATAGTGGAAGACAGAAGTCTTGATAACTGAAAGTGCAGTGGCAAGTTTTAGCTAAACACTTGTGAAAACTTTCTTGTAATGTTTTTTAAGTGATCAAGACAAGGTCGAGATAAATATTCAGCAGGTATGTCCGAAATATTTTTACCCCGAGGAAATTGCACAGTTAAGGTGTACTTTGAAGACATGCAAAATTATTCTAAGTATGGAATCATATACAAGACAGTAAAGGAAAGACAAGCGTTCAAACACTTAGTCAAAAAAAGAAGACTTGCATTAAGAGAAGAAAAAGGGTACTTCGGCCTACAAAGAGACTACTTGTTCAAGATTACAAAAGTGGCACGTCGGCCAAATATGAAAACTGAAAACATTGTTCAGGAATTACTAAGTACAAAGAAAGAGTCGACAGCAAGACTACTCGGTGTCGGTGTCGGTGGCGGGCAGCGTCTCGGTCCCAGAAGACAACTGGGGAATCTTCTCGGCAGCCTTCTCAGTCTCATGGTTGGCGTTGATCTCTCGTATAGTTTGATCAATGCGTCTCTCGGCGATTGGCACCTCAGATGTTGTCTTTTGGGGGGAGGCACCTTTTGAGACCTCGTCCTCATCATCCTGAGTCAAGCTAACTTGCTCATTCAGAGTTGGGGACTTGGCCCCAGCAGGATCTTCAGCAACGGCCACCTCGGCTTCTTCATCTTCGGCTTCCTCTCCTTCTTCCTCTTCTTCTTCTTCCCCAGCCTTTGCCTCAGACTGGCTTGAAGTGGGTGAGAATGGCACCACAAGTCGGCCTACGTCTCTCAGAGGAGAGTCCTCGGGGACAGCCAACTTCTTCAGAGCAGCCATTCAACCAAGGGTGAAGCCCTTGTTGCATGCCTCTCTGACTTGTTTTTTGTAGTCCTCGCGGACGTCAGCTGCCTCCTCGGCGTATGCTTTCTCGTCCGCTGTTTTGATCTCGGCGTCCTTTGTGGCCAAGGCAGCGATGAGCTCGGCTTGGGCCTTGGCAGTTTTTTCTTCAGCCTCTTTCTTCTCAGCCTTGAGGACCTCAGCAATAGCCACAGCAGCCCCCACCCTTTCCTTGGCCTCGTCTTGGGCCTGTTTGGCCGCCTTAACCTGATCTATCAATGTCTTTATCTTGGCCTTGACCTTATTGACAATCTTCAGCAAACCAGTAGCCTCCTTAGTCTTGTTGACCAACTCCTTCTTGATATCAAAGGCCTGCATCGCGAAGGAGTGTGCATGCTGGATCGCCTTGAAGAAATGGGCAGAACAAAAGTAAATAAAACTCTAAGTATGGTAAAATAGAAAATGAAAAGTACCAAGTGTTAGGGGCTTACGTGTACGGAGTGCTGCAACATTAGAGCAAAGTTTTCATATTCGCTGACCTTGGCGTTGCGGTCGAGGTCTTTTGGAAGAAGCAGGCAGTAGAGAGGGCAACACCGACTTCAATGTCAGCCGCGCTGTCGCCAACTCTGACTGGCTTGTCCTCAATAGTGATTGGAGGGGCCCAGGGGGCATCAAATTTCAGGGACCCTGAGGTTGTGGCGAACTCTGACCTCAGCTTCTTTGACTGGGTGGATTCGGAGGGAATAGCCTCTGCGGGCCTCTTTTCAGAGGCAGAGGCACTTTTTTCCGCCTCGGCCATTTTTGAGATCGGCAAGGTATCCTCATAATCGATCTGAGTTACCGTTGCCTTTGTTTGGGCCTTCTTCAGCCTTTTTGGCTTTGGCTTTGGCAGAGATTGTGATGGTAAAGATTGTACAGTGACGATGTTGGGCATGTCGGCTAGAAGGTCATTTGCTACAGCCTTTTTACGACCCATCTTGTCGGCGGCTATAGCAACGGTGACCTTAGTGCCGAAATGGATCGCTGGAAATGTAGTAGGGGGGTTGGCTGGATCGTAAGAGGACGCCTCGACACTTCGGCGTCTTCGGCTTTGAGTCTTGCCTGCCGGTGCGAACAATGGAGCTCAACGTCGGCGTTGGCGTTGAGAATGTGGGATCAAATGTGGAGCAGAGGTTGATGGTTGCTCCACAGGACCAGATGTAGATCCTTGATGATTCAGCTTGAGGAGTTGTTGCTGAATGAGGAGATTTGTTTTTTCTTGGGACGTTGGGAAGTATGGACTTGTAGGTTGGGATGTAGTTGAGTAGCAGAGGTGTTTTCCACTGCTCAACTGGAAAACCCAACAACCTCTTGAAATCCTTGCTGGATAGAAGGATTTGCGGAAGTCTTTGGGTGGTTGAGAAAGAACTACAAAATAAAACAAAACTGAGGTTAGAGCAGACAAAAATATATTAAAGTAATAAAGACTTGAAAGCAAGTAAAGGTGGCACTTGGCTCTTACCATCTCCCTCTCTGAAAACTGTTCGGCTAAGGGGATAGAGGTGAAGGTCATCATCTGGTGGGAACTCCCAGTTGCCCGAGACGATGAAGTAATCGTCTCCAGCACCCTTGTTGGAGTCTGGGAGGTCGGCGACAAGTTTGTATTTCGTAGATCTCGGCTTAAGGTAATAGATATAGCCCTTTTCTAACTTTAGGCTGCACATGGTGTAGCAGTACAGGATGTCGGCTAAAGTTACCCTAGCATTTTCTTGGCTAGCTAAGGCAATTATACCGTTGATGACTCTGTAAGAGTTAATGGCTAGTTGCATTGGGTTGAGTTTATAATAGTGAAGGATTTCTCGGAAGAGGATGTCAAGAGGGAGCTTAAGATCACACTCTATGAAGGCTACAACTGGGAATGGCATAGAGTCGTCTTTAGGCATGATGGAGTCTTCCTCTCCAGCCAGCCTGAGGTGATCGTCGGCAGGGATGGCAAACTCCTGCCTGAAGTATGCTAGCTTATTTGGGGTGTCTACCCTCTACCTAAACATACCCATAACGTCGGCTAAATGGGAAGGTGTTGGATTTCAAAAGGAAATGGATTGTTAAGGTTTGAGGGACCTCGGCTTGAACTCAGAACAGAAGCAAGGGCAAGGGCTTTTTAAGATCTAGGGAATTTTGTTCCAATTTTCCTAGGGATAGTGGTTTCTATCAAAACCCAAGCCTAAAAACTAAGTGAAAATAGGAAATTGGAGGCAAGAATCTGACAAAATGCAACAAGAAAACAGAAACAAGAACATGATTCAGACTCAAGAAGACAAAACAAGAAATTCAAGAACATTTTAATTATAGAAATACAGATATACAAAGCCAAGTTCAGTGGCAGAATAACGAGCATGTGTTTGGTTTGGAAGCTAGAAAGCAAAAATCAAGAACATTAAAAGTATGAACAACATGTGAATGTGTTTATACCCAGAAACAAATGATGTAGAACATGTTTAAGCATATGAAGGGTGAAATTTGAAACAAAGCCAAGGATAGGAGACTATGAATATATACACCACGACGAATAAGCAGAGGCAACAGAGTATGAAAAACTAAAGAAAGGGAAAATAGTAAACTCACCAAAGAAAATGAAGCCGGAGTGAAATACGCCGGAGTTAGACGATGGCAGCAAATGGAGAAGAGCAGCAAAAGTTTCGCCAGAGGAGATGAACGGTGTAGTTGCAGAGCTTGAGAGCTTGAAACAATGGAGAATTTGGGAGATTAGAGAGAGAGAACTTGAGCGAAGACGAAGATACGAAAGTGAAATGGTGAAGAGAGAGGGAAGTATTCTTGATCAAAACATGAAATGGCGGCAAATCGCAATTAGTGTGCCTAGGACGACGTGCTTGTCAGACAGTGCACGCAAAAGCGATGCGACTTAATGGCGCGTGTCAGGTACGGGTCAATGGGGAAGAGACGCGTAGCAAAAATGGTTAAGTCACTGTGCGTGACAGCTCATACACGTATAAAAACTCTTGGAGTTCTTGACTTAATGAAGCAAAGACCTCCGCTAGAGGGATGATCTCAGCTAAAGAATTTGAAAAACTTGGTTCTTGGTTCTTGGTTCTAAGGCACTGATGAAAACAGACTATAAGTCTTGGTCATGTGAAGCCGATTAATGATGACCTCGGTAATAAATGATAGAGCCAGCTTAGCCGACATGCTATATGGTTTGATGATATAGGTTTCATCACCTCAGGATGCTGAGGTAATAGAACCTAGGGGGCAGTTGCGGGGACATATTTTTTGGATAGCAAACACGTGGCCAAGGTGGCACCGAAGTGCCAGCCGATGTGCCACATGTCTTGGTCATGGTGCCGAGATGATCTCGGCTAGGCTGAGGTTATCTGCGGAGATACCGGAATCCGAGATGAACAGATAAGGAACAAGAGTCTTAGAATGAGGGAAGACCTCAGTTTGGATAAAGATAAACCTCTTAGGGAGTTTATCTCTATCTATTGGAGAGTCCGGGATAAGCATTGAGCCAGAGTCTATTGAAGCTGGGCTTCTACAGGGATCAGGTTAGTGTTGGCTATAAAAGTAAGGCATGCTCATGAGTCTAAGGTACGCTTTTGGTATTCTTGCATTGTGAGTTCAATTGGTTGTCTTTGAGAGATATTGATTACTGACTTGATCGTCGGAGTGCCCCCGGGTGGAAGAGCCACCGCGGTATTCTCATCTTTCGGTTATAGGTCGTTCGGGCGCAATCTATTCTGTCGGTGTTCTCCAGCTAAGTACTTGGTTGATAATGTGGTCAGAAAATAGCACACACAGTATAGAACTTAAACACATGTCTAACTTATTTTTGTTTGGTAAAAATAGTGTTTTCTGTTGATTTGGCTTAATTAAATTTTAGCTAACACATACCAATAAGAAAAATTAGAAAAAAAAAATGTTAGGATTTGAACTCAGTAATATATTAAATCCTAACATTTTAATTATTTAAATTTAAACTCAACTTTTGAAATGATCAATTTTAAATATCTGTTAGTTATAACTAACATAATATGAATAATTTAATTTATTATTATTTTTTTTTGTTGGTGGTGTTAGACGGTAGCGGTTGTTATGGATTAGGAAAGAAATGAGAGGAATGATAGCAAGCAGAAGAATGAGAGGAGTAATCAGGGTCGGCCCTGGGCATAGGCCCATCAAGTTATAGCTTAGGACCCTTTAAAATAGACCCAAAAAATGACCCCTTCTATTATAGTTTAGTGTAATATATTAGGTATGTTTTACATCCAAAAAATAAATAAAAAAGGCCCAAAATAACTTAAAATAAATTAACCCATTACAAAATTAAAAGGCTCATTCAAAATTAAAAGGGTCCATTTTCTCTCCCTATCTAATTCATAACCCTAACTCTTATTCAATTTTCCCAAAAAATTGAGAGAAGCGACACAATAGAGTATTAACGAATTTCTCCATAATTCAGAGCAGAAGCATAGCACAGGTAGGTCTTTTTTCTATTCTATTAATTAAATATTTGTCTTGTTTTTTGCTCAATTTCTATTATAATATTGGTATTTATACAAATCTGCATCATCAAGAAGAATTAATCTTTTGCTACTTGTGCTATTATAACATTAGAAGTTTAATAGTTCACATCACATAATTTAAAAATTTTGTGTTTTGTTAAGTGTTGGTGGTGCTTTTGTACTTGTTTTGATCTAAAAAAATATTTTAATCTCCGCTCATCATGACACTTCAAAGAAATTATCCATTTGAATTTGCAAAAAGGAAAAAGGCTAGATTATGCAAATATGATTAACTTATTTGTTTCTAAAAATGTAAGAAGAGCGAGAATTAAGTGATACTTATTAATTGTTGTAATGTAATATTAAGTATTTTTTATGATTTTGATATAAATTTTTTGTCTTTTATCTTTATTTTTTTTTTTCATTGAATAAAAAAAAAAATGTAAAAGATTCTAAATGATTTAGTAATATTTATTAATTGATTGTCGATTTTAGACCTCAAAAATCCCAAGGCGGGGCCTGGGGGTAATGCTAGATGAGAAGAAGAGATGTGGTGAGTGGATTGGAAAAGAAATGAACGACAATAAAAATGGGAGGTCACTGAAAAAAAGAAAAGAAAAAGTAGTTAAATTATGTTTGTTGGTCAATCACGCACAATGCTGTGCTTTATTGTATACTCTCTTTTTTTGTTGAAAGGGTTACCCACTTACTAGCTTTTAAACGACCAGGATGTCGGACCACCAAAAATTAAAGGGTAAATTATACTTTGCGCTGGTATTTTTTTTATTTTGGTTTTTAAAGTATTTTTTTTCTTAATTTTGGTTTTATATTTTAATTTTTGAAAAATTTATCTATAAATTTTATTTTAAGGAATGACGATTTATTTAGTCTCAACAATTTTTTTATAGACTAATTAGTCTCATTGATTTTGAAAAAGAAGATTTAATATATTATTTGAAAATTAGATTTACGATTATATCTTATTTTTATTATGTTACCTTCTCTTTTTTTCTTTTGTGCTAGAAAGATAATGTGCACAATTTATGATAATCAAATTTGGAATGATTTTTTATATAAGAATCTTTGTTATTTGGAAAACATTTTAAAAGGAGTACAAAAATGACTTGTAATATGGAATTCTTTAAACATTCCAAAATGATGTGAGATTCTTTAAACATTTCAAAAGAAATATAAAAAAACTCCTTAATAAGTTTTGGACAAATGCATATTTTCAAACTGTAACACTTCAATGTAACACTCAAATGTAATATTTCAATGTAACACTCTAAAAAAACTCATTAGTGTAATACTCTAACATATACAAAAAAAAAAAAAAAAAAAAAAAAAAAAAAAACTTCTTACTGTATTTTTCTCAAACGTAACACTCTAATATAACATTCCAAGAAAATTCTTTAGTGTACTTTTTCCAAGCGTAACACTCCCAAAAAGTTTCTTAATGTATCACTCTAATGTAATACCAAAAAAAAACTCTTTAGTGTATTTTTTCCAAATGTATCACTTTAAACAAATTTCTAAGTGTATTTTTTCAAACGTAACACTCAAAAAAAAAAAAACTGATGTGGGATTCTGCAAACCATTCCTAAAGAAGTACAAAAATTTCTTAATGAGTTTTGGGCAAATTTATAATTTCAAATTGTGAGTGTTACATTTGAAAAAAATACACTAAGGAGTTTGTAATATTTTTGTGTGTGTTACATATGTTACATTGTAGTGTTACATTTGAAATTACATTGATTGAAATGTTACGCTTGGGAAAAGTATACTGATGAGCTTTTTTTTTTTTTTTTTTTTACATTGGAGTGTTATGTCTGGAAAAGGTATACTAAAAAGTTTTTTTGAGTGTTACGTTACTATGTTTGATAAAAGTATACCAAAGAATTTTTT